TATATTCCTCACTAATTTTTTTGCATAAGCTTGTAAGTAGAAAATCCCTGGTTAACAACACTTCAGCAAATATGTGTCATCCTTTTGTGAGGCAACAAAACAGAAGGCAAGTTTTAAGGATCAACTCTTCATCACTAAAGACATGGTAAACTACTATGATGGCTACTACTTTCAGCTGCGCTAATGCCTATATTCCCCAACCCACTGGAACAGCTGAACTCATCCTGATGACTAAGCCAGGCATTTATTATACAGGAGCGAGAAAGAAGAAGAAACTTGACTAGAGGGAAGGCAGCACAGCAAGGGAAAGCTGACTCCAGCTCACCCATTTCAGGTTTAAGACAAGGGCCACCAGGCCCAGGAAACAGTTCCGAGAGTGAAACTTGGGGGGTTTTATGTCCATACATTCTGGTGCTTAAGTATCACATGGTTCTATTAGAGACTGTGAAGATCCCCGACTGCAGTGTAGGGAGCTAATTAAACATTATGAAAGTATATATAAGCAAAAGGAGTTAATCTGTGACCAGGCATCGTACTGGGCAAGGGGTTCCGCAGGGCACACTGTGCCTTCGGGCAGCGTCCCACGGCTCAGGGGCACCCTGGGCGAGCCTGGGCGGCCGCGGGCCCTTCCCAGCTGCCCCTCTCGGGTCACACCTTCACTTTTCAACTATCACAGAGACCCACAAGAGGCTCAGCGCTCGAGTGCAGTGTCCTCTAGCCAGAAACAGAGAAGAACTAGGTATTCGGCACCAAAAACAGCAGGTGGAGAGAACAGGCTGCAGCGACACCGCCACAGCCCCGCACTGAGACCCCACGCAGAGGGCGGGAGCCCTCCGAGCCGCTCGCCGCGGGGCACGGGCGGAAGCAGCTCAGCATTACCTGGTCCCCCGGCGCGGAGAAGTCCACCACGCCCCGCAGGTCGGACGCGTCGCGCTTCCGATAGAAACGAAAGAGCCGACGGAACGCATCCTCCCCACCCTCACGGGTCAAGGCTGCCGCCGCCATTTCGGGCCGGCCAGGGCGGGGCCGCCTCTCTCTCTCTCCGTCCCTCCCTCTCACCGCAGTTCCGACATGGCGGCGGCCAGTGCAGTGCGGGAGGCCGGGCGCCGCTCTCGGCGGCTCTTCGATATCTTCGTGGCTGAGATTCCCTGGACGGTATCGAGCAGTGAGTCTGCGACCCCGCTCCCATTCCTCACCGCTGCTGGGGCTGGTGGGGTGGGGCGGCCCTGTACAGGCCGGGGGTCGGGCCAGGGCGGCGCGGCTGCGCGGAGGTGCCGGACCCGCGTAACCAGCTGTGTTTTTCCACAGAGGAGCTGAAGGAGTACTTCTCCCAGTTCGGACCGGTGCAGAGGTGCCAGCTGCCCTTCGTGAGTACCCGCGCGTCCTCCGGGCCCCAGATCGCGTGTTCTCGGCGAAGCGGGGAAGAGCCTCCGGCTGCTCCTGCGGCTGAGGCCTTGCCCCGAAGCAGCTTCCCCACTTCCTCGGAGCTGCAGTCCGGACGCCTTTTGTTAAACTCTAGAGGGGTTTCCAGTGCTCTCTGTCCTTAGCTCCTTCTTCCCGGAGCGCCACCACTTGTTTGCGAGCGCTCGGCCTTATTGTGGTTTTCATTTGCTTTCAAAGAGCTTTACAATGTACATGCTTCACATCCTGCCGATGCTGCCATTTCTGAATAATTAATCTAAAAGTGCTTTTAGCTTCTTTATCATCGTGTTATCATTCTTCTGACAGAGAATAAAGTTTTTGTGTGCCTGGTCTCACTGGTCAAAAACTAAAGGTGTGGGTACGAACCTACCATCTTTTCCTGCTGTGGATTCAGACCCCATCCAGATTACAGGGCTGACACAAAACCCATAACCTCTGCAAGGTGCTGTCAGGGCCTTTCTCGTTTAGGCTGTTTATCTTCTGAGTGTCAGGGATCCTAGTATCTAGTGCACTTTTTTAGAGATAAAGATTCAAAACCAGTGTTCCTTTGCAAGTAAATTGCAGGCCATTGCTGCCATTGTTGGAAGTGCAAAGGTTGTCTGCTTGTGTTTCTCCACGTGAAGTAATCCTGTTAAATTAAGCTCAGTGTGTAGTGAACTTCAGTTAGTGAGCTGATGGATTCACTCTCTGTTGAGGATTAGTTTGGAAACAGAGAGTTTGAAACAGGCTGGTTGTTCTGAACACTTGACACTTAGGCGCTTGCCTGTCATGTTTTTCCTCAAGCCCACCTCAGACTGCATTGTTTTGTTGCAGAGTCTGGCAGCTTACCACAAACCCATCTCCATCACTGATTAAAGTGATTCATGTGTGTACATTCAGATTCAGTGATTGAGGAGTTTCATTAATGCTTAAAACCCAGAGGTACAAAAATCACCAATGTAGGACAGCCTAATTTAGACATCACTGTGATACTGAAACCAGGCTGTACCTTGTAGGTGGTTTGGAAGTGTTGCCAGTTATGCCTGGTGGTGAGAGTGGCTGAGCTGTTGTGAGCTCTGAGTGGGATCACAGTAGGGATAGAAGTCACTTGGATACACCTGTCTTTTCCTCATTATCACCTGTTTATTAACAACTGTCTTTTCTGACTGGCAAAGTATTTCTAAAAATAACTTTTTTTTAGAGCAATTAGTGCTTGTCATTCTGAATTGCACTCTGCTTTCCTAGTCTCTTAAACAGCTGCTTTATCTTGCTGAATGTTTTTCAAGTACCGTGGCCATTTAAATGTCACTTCTGTTGTGACCAGCTTATTAGTAGATAAACACTGCAGTTTGAAACTACTGTCTATACATTATTCCAGTCTTCAATTATATCTTAAAATCGTGAGTTGTTGTTACTACTGCTAGATTCAAATTGAAAGGGATGTAGAACAGCCTTTGCTAGACCCTGCCATGCTGTCACTGACAGCAAATGTCTTAGTGTGAAAAAGGCTCCTGAAACAGCAAGTGTGCCAATTCCTCTGATAATTTCTGAATCCTTAAATTCAGTATCTGTAGAAAATTTTTAACAGCCTATTTCTTATAGTAATTGCATTTTGTTGTTTGTTTTTTTTTCTTTAACTGGTAATTAGGACAGAGATACAGGCTTTCACAGACGTTACTGCTGGATTAAGTTCTCAGCTCCAGAAGTTGTTGAGAGTGTGTTACAGAAGGAGTCCCACATTCTTGAAGGTTCCAAGGTAATGTGCTAATTCCTTTAATGAAGTAATGTGATTAGTTGACTCTGCCTTCAACTGGACACAATAACATGAAAACATGACATACTCTTTCAAAATGTGGTTAGGATTTTGCCACTCAGCATGCTTTTAATGCTTTTTAACTCATTACTACTTCTGTTTATTCCCTCCACTCAACTGGAGTTGTTAGGGGTCAAGATCATAGAGATACCAGAGAGATCACACTCAAGAGACCAAAAACTCCTGCTATGCTTAAGTAATGTGAATGCAGTAAAATTGTTTGGGATATGCTATGCAGTTAGTTTGCAGTTTGTAATGCTGGTTTCTGCATCTCATCTGGATGTTGAGTGGCAGGGGGAACATGATAAAGATTAAGTGATGCGAAGCTTTGAACTTTAGTGAAATTTTTTTTCAGCTGTCATTTCACACAGGAGAAATCAGCTGCTTGCTTTCACATATTCAAGACAACTCTAAATTTGCTTTAGGTGTAGGGTCTCATTCTGTCCATCTTTAACATTTTAAATGTTAGTAAAAGAAAAACACACCGCTTTGGCAATCTCAGTGCATTAGTGTACGGTATTGAGACAGTGTAATGATCTAGTATACATATAAAAGTGTCTGTCCTTGACTGGTCAGCTAGATCCAGACAACTCTCCTCCAGCACAGAAACAGAGCCAGACCTTCTCACTGCTTTCCCAACATTTAGTGTGCAGTGGTGTTGACAGATAAGGAATCATGAAGAACAGCGAGTCAATGGCTGCCCAAAGCCATTGATATATTAACAGCTCTCAAAATAATTAGAAATTTGCATCTGCTATGTTCCCTAAATAGGGGATTTTCTTACAGACTTACATGTGCTTGAGCTGATAAAACTACTCAGATGGTGTGTAGTACAGAGTGAAGCCACAAGCAACAGGCAGGCTGGTGTATCAGACACAATCAGCTCAAGCCTTTGATTAATTAATAAGAATTCTTCAATATCCATTTGATAACTAATTTCTTATTTTGAGATTTAAATGTTAGGAGATGTTGACAAGAGACTTCAGTGTTGCAGTATTGTGATTGTGTGTATTACTGCATCAGTTGTCATTGATTGTGGTTACTTCAGTACCTATTCCCAAGAAGAACCAACCTGTGAGTTCCAACTGTGGTACAAAAATGGAAGCAGAAATCAAGACTCCTTAAACTGTGAGTAGGCTCACAGCTTAAAGAATAGGCAGCAGGCTGGTTCTTCATAAAGTGTGCTGAACTAGGATGTTATCTGTATGCAATTACCAAATTAGGTACTAGAAATAGCATAGTATTTAGTGTCAGTTTCCTGGAAATTTTTGCCGCTTTTTATTCTTGAGGCTGTAAGGGATAGCCACATGCACTTAACTGCCTAGGCTTCAAAGACTGTACTCTCACAAGAGGTTCAAGCTAAGAGGCTTTTTTATAGTGAAAGAAAAAGCAGAAGGCAAACAGTAGTTATTTTCATTTCTTAAAAAATGCAGGCTTCTCTAGAATACATAAGCACTTTTTCCACTTTTTTCTAGGCTAAGTTTAGACAGTTACTTTTTATTAATTACAGTGGAAAGCACAAGCTTTCAAGATGCATTTTGCCGGTACAACTACCAATTGCTGTGCACGTATATTCAACTGTCCTGTCAGGAAAGCCCTGGCTTGGGGCTTGTGAAACTGAACTGGTTATAAAGCTTCTCCTTTCTATATCAATGTTGTGGGTGATCAGAAATGAAAAATAACAAAACATTCTTGCCTAGCTAATTTCAATAATTTCCGTTGTTTTCAGCTTACTCTCAGGCAGCAGATCCGTAGAAGACGCAGTCAAAGGAAGAGTCAAAGTGAGTGATGGAAGGAGGCTTTATTTCACTAAATTTAAAGAAACTAAAATAAAGATTACTGAGAAACTATGAATGAGTACTTGTTTTAAACCAGAAGCCAGCTGTTTCCCCTCCCTTGTTCAAATAAACTGTATAGCCACACTGAAACACTGAATCATTAACACCCCAGCATCTGTTACAACATAAGACAATCATTATATACAGCAGGAAAGTTTTTAACAGATCAAGTCAAAGCTTTAGCTACCTACAAAAACTAAAGCTGTAGGAAGGGGGCTACATTCTTACCCTGAGATGCTGGGCAATGGGGAATCAGCAAAATAGGAGAACTTGCTAAACAGTAATTAATTCCCTTATGAAATGTTTCAAAGTGGTCTCCATGTCTTCCGTCTCCTTGGGTAGCTGTCCTATGTAGACGAATTAAGTGTGTGTATATATCCACACGGCCAGAATTGTGAGCTGCTGTGTTACAACGCTGTCCTCCTGTACACCCAATATTAAAAATCCTTTAGCATGAAGTCCAAGCTTGCAGTCCATTTCTCTACCTCTCAAGGAACAGAGGCATTCAGTCCTTCCTCCTCTTTTTGCTCTCATGCTCATGTTCCTTAGGGCGGCTGCTGTCTGATGGCCGTTTAGAACCACCATGTTGCTTAGCTTCTTCCAGAAACTTGTCCAAACCAAATGGATCCTCTTCAAACTGAACTGGTCCATCTCTGCCCCTGCCTCTGGTGTTACGATCCGAGTTGGAAAACTCTTTGTCGGGAACAAACCTGCAGGAGAAGATGATGCTCAGTTGACTATCTTTAGAGTACTAATTAAGAATATTTCTTATATTTATTTCCTTACCTGTTAGTCTTTATTCGAGCCTCTAGATCATCACCATACATGTCCTTATCCACATTTTTACTTGGCCTGTAGATGTTTTGGGCCATATCCTTGCCACTTCTCCAAGGCTGGTCATAAACATTATAAATTTCATCCTCTCCTCCAGCAAACCCACTGTCCATACCCTGTGAAGAAGAGCACAAGTTAATCAACAAACCTTCAGCTAACTTACTTTAACAACAAAATGCACTGATGATGTTACACGGTTACACAAAGACAACATGGTGTAATTTACTATTGATTTCAAATGACTCCAAGCACTTCATGAGGATACGAGTGGGTTTGGGTCTGGGATTAAGTCCAGAGAACATGACATTACAAGCCTCAGTAATACTCTTCCAGATAGCAATAGGAAAGATTACAGGCCATCCACATTTTAGAATAATGGATCATTTCAGTCTGCCCTGAAAGTACAGCTGTCTGTAATAGCTAAGTACAACCATACAGAAATGTGTATTATTCAGAATTTCTGGAAAACATGATTTAAGCTGACTGATCCAAATCACACAGAGGCTTATATAAGCTCTGAAAGTAGAAGTGTCTGCTTGTTCATTTTTGGTTCATCAGCTTTCCCTTCTTGCCTGCAAGTCTTTCATTGCAAACATGAAAAAGAGTGATTGACAAACTGCAGGTGTATTGAGGGATTTGCTGAAGCCAAATCTATTTTGTCATCTCTGAATAGTCTAAAATTCAGGGAAAATAAATGTTGCTGTTAACTGTTTATATCTTCAGAAGTATTAACACAAGCAGTAATGGGAATAGAGAGCATTTACTTGCTTCTCTCTGAAAGCAGATTTCCCATTCAGTCAGTACATTTGTAAAAGAGAAGAAAATGAGGTCACTGCAGCTTGAAGGCAAAATAATTTTTCTCCCCACTCCCCAGTGAGAAAACTGACAACAAAAACACTTTAATCCGTCTATACACTTAAAATAGTCAATGTTGGGGTTTTTGTTTTGGTTTTTTTTTTTTTTGCATAGGCTCTGGATAAAGGAAATCAATAGTTTCCTGATCACTTACATAAATAACTTTTTTCTGAATATATCCACACCAGCCATGAGAACTGGCTTCCTTTAGTATTCCAGCTGTACCCACAAAGGAAGGATGAGCATGTTCTGCTAAAAAGCTACACAGCTGTGAAAGGGTATTTTACCTTGCTCTGGTTGAACAGCCTCTGGTCATACTGAATTTCATTGGATGGCCTGGGGTTGGGGACCCCCAGGGCAATAACTTCACTGATATCTCTGTTCTCGTTTCTTTGCAGCTTTGACCTGAATTAAAAATTTGAAAGTTTTATGAGGTCAGTAAACCATACTTGTTGACATGCTCAATTGCAACCTGATCCTGTATTCCTTGGTAACGATTTTCCTCAGGAGCCAGATTTTGACTGTTGTTCTTCCTTACTAGGTAACATTTAAAATTTGTCTCCTGGCAAAGGAAACATTTGGCAAAGTTATGTTCAGCTGGGCATGACATTTAAATTTGCTTTCCACTATCTGCAATTCACATCAAGCTGACTTGGTCTAAAATGTCACACTTATTTTTTGCAAGAATCAGTGTAGTTATATTCTGGAAAGGCCAAGCAATCCAATTTCAACATATTGGAGATTTTAAGCATCCAGAAATCATTTGCACTCAGAAATCTCAGTGGCTTCAGCTAATAAGATACTTCAGCCTATCTTCATAAATCTAAGCTTACTTAAAATGAACAGCTTCAAGAAACAAAGCCACTATTCTAACTCTGGTCTCACCAAAATGAGAAGATTCAGGTTTCAATCTTTGTTATCAACATGTTAATTAAACCTGAACATGCTGAGGTCCTGCTGAAGGAAAACTCACCCAAAACCAATACAGCACACCCCCTCTCTCCCATTCATGTGTAAAATTCTACATTTTGAAGAGAGTACTGGAGAATTTTAACACAGTAATACCTTCTCATATAACGAACAAACTGTGCTTCATACCAGTGACTATCTCCACAAGATACAATTCAGGCACTTACATCAAGAAAAGGAAAGCCCAGTAATACGTTCCCTAGTGGGGAAGCCAGTGCTACTACAGGAATAAACCAGCTTTTTTTCGTGACTTACCTTTTATCAGGGGCTGCCCGAGAAAGATTTCTGTCATGCTGTCTTTCTTTGCGCCGGTCATGTCTGATTTCATCTCTTTCTCTAGCTTCTCCATCCTCTGAACAAGTACAAGATTACTCATTATAGAGAAATATTTAAAGTTTGAATTAATTATGCCACAAACATTGCCACAGTAATTCAATTCAGTATTCTTTTACAGAAGAGTAGTGACCCTTAGCACTACTTAAACTGTTATACTTCAAATAAACTGAACACACTAACACCATGGCTTTCTTATGCCTCAAGCAAATGACTGTCCTTGGCAAGTCAGAGCAGACATATCCTAACAACTATGTTCTTCCAACTTTAAAGAGCTTAGAATGATTGTCTGTCTAGGAATTAATATCCTAAAACATTTACAGATCATTATATCATAATTCTAAGCATAAAAGTATAATTGAAACATGCAGGGATTTAAGAGTTTTGAAAAACATTCTGTGATGCAATATCAGAAAATCACCCAGATTGGAAGGGAGTCTAATTCACAACCTCCTGCTATCAACGCTCATATTCAAACCAGGTTGCATGGGGCTTTTTCACACTCAGGTGAGGAAAACCTGCAAGGTTAGAGACTGACGAATTTCCTAGACAACCTGTTCCACTGCTGTTTGTCCTCATGGTGAAACTTTTTCTCCTGACACAGTTGAAACTCCTGATTCAACTCTTGGCCACTGTCTCATTCTTCCACTGTCAACTTGGTGAAGAGCTCTGATAATCATTTAGGGATGATTGTGGGATGACCTTGTGGGTAACCTTCCCATTATCTAGCCCCAATGGCACATCACATCCTAGCAGAACAAGCCTTATTCTCTCAGAATCTCCAGGCAGTTACTTGAGTCCCATGACATTTCTGATGGCCTTCCACTGAACTGACTCCCATTTATCGATGTCCTTCTTGTACCTGGAAGCCCGTAACTGCATAAAGTATTCTAAATGCAGTCTAACGGGCCACCAATAAAAGGAAATTATTACTTCCTTTGATTTACTGGTTACACTCCTACAGATGCAGCTTTGTATGCCCTTAGCATCACTGTTGCCAGGGCACACTGCTAGCTTATATTCAGCATATTGTCCACTACAACTCCTGGCTGGCCAGCCCCCAGCCTGCTGGTAAGAGGTTAGTACATCCCAGCTGCAGGATTTGGCATTGTATGGCCATATCCCTTCATCTTCTGGAGAGATCGTAACCGCTCTCTAAGTTCATCAACTTGATCTTTGAAGTGTAATGTCAATCAGAACATAAGACATCACAATGGAGACAATTTAGTTGGGTTGGCAGCAGGGTTTTTTAGGGCCTACTGGCCAACAAAAATGAAGTTCTGCAAGATCAGTTACAACAGTGCAAGAGCCAGAATATTGCATTTACCAACTTTGAAAGCTTAAAGATGGTTTAGTTCTTCTAGAAAAAGCTGTCCTTCATCAGCAATAAGCTTAAAAAAATTACTTTAGAACTGTCCATGAAAGCCATCACTTGCACTGATGCATTAACTCCAAAATTCTCAGTATCCTAAACCTGTACACATCAACATACTGATCTGAGGTTCAAACCTGTATCACATCAAACCAGCCAGTGAATTAACCAATAAAACCATGAACTGATGTCATGCTTAGAAATTTCAGCTGGAATTTAGATATTTTAAGTTCCCAGATTGTTGCTCCAAACCTACACTTCAGAGTATTAAAAAAAGCCATAGCGTCTTCATAACAAAGAAATGTACCTTTTTCAACATGGGTTTTGATCCCTGCTCTTCTCTCCCTGGCTTTCTGAGCCATTTCTCGGAGCTTTTCCTCGTGTTTCTCCTTTTCCTTCTGAGCCATCTTCCTCTCCACCTGGGCACGCATCTCTACTGCCTCACGAGCCTGCACAAATAAGACAGTTAAAAATACCAAAAGCATAGCACCTGTGATACAAGCAGATCTGTCATGGAGTTAGGCAGTAAACAAGACAGAAATGAAGCCAAAATTAGGAAGCTTAAAAGCCCGTCAGCCACAGCAGTTAGAGCTGAGAGACAAGACCCATGACTTCCAGTAACTTAATCCACACTGAGCCCAAGATTCAGAGTGGGGATAAGGCCTTAAGTCTTACATTAGCAAAGAAGCAGGACAAATCAAAAAGCTATAGCCTATTCACAGCTGATTTTCTGAAGGAAATTAATATACAAAGATGGTAAAACTATATGGAAAAAAACAGTTTAAAGAACTACCTGACCTTTCTGTCAGCAATATAGAGTGCCTCAGCAAGTTTGGCGAAGTTTTCATTAATATGAACAGTCTGCAATCCTCTCCCATCTGCAGCCAGACGCTTATCTAATGGAATGGTGTAACCCTACAGTGGAAACAGAGGGGCAGTTAACCACAGAAACAGTATTTGTAATAACAAGCATTATTGTATTTGTTGTGTAAGGAAACAAAACCACAAAATCCACAACCCATCATTATTATGCCTCAATGGATCGCCTTTTCATATATACTTCAAATTCTTGCCAGGTAATACAAAGCTTCACTCCAATTCCATCCTCCCAACAAATACAAATCACAGCTTCCCCTCAAGGTTCATCTTATGACAAAAGACAGTTTTCAAGTGATAAGGTCCACTTTTTGCTTTGTGTTAAGAACTACAGATAACAGCTTCCCCAGTGTCTAAGCTGTTTTACCATTTTTTGCTTAAAAATTGTTTTACCTAAACTGTTTCTATACCTGTTAGGAGATTAACTGATTCAAAATGAGAAAGTAAGGGACAAGGCAGCCAGCAAAAGTAAGGCACACTAAATGCCAATTTTGTTTACCAAAGCTGAAACTCAAAATTATTAATAGATTTTATTTTAAGATTATTTTAGTAAGCTCTACAAAATTTTTGCTTTGGTTTTAGCATCTGTAACCTAAAAATTTGATCTCCTAATTAGCATCAGTCCCAGTTAGACAGCTGTGTTGGGGTAGGAAAAAATAGTAACATCCAAACATGTAGCTTTTCCTTCCTCCATTTGAAGAGGCTGTCTCAGGACAACTGTTCAGTACATTTCAGAATGATTAGACTAGTTACTGCAGCAAATTAATTCTCCCCTCTCTAAGAACGTAAACTTAATGACTGATAAAAATCAAAGGGATAGGACATACCTACTTAAACAAGGAACAAAAATAGATAGCTGACCAGTGATAAAAATTAATTAATGAAAGAATGCAACAAGGAAAACTTTCCAAAAATGGACTGCAGTATTAAAAAGAAACATGCTTGGGTCTCTGATACTCTGCTCCTTTTCCATTTAGCTGGCTATACTTTGTGACCTTGAGAAATTTTGACTTTGCACTGCACTATTATGGGGGTTTTAACTAATACAATGTTTTCCTCTCAAAATTTATCTCTGCCATGAAGTAACGTATCTGCTCTCAGTTCTATACTCTCAACTGGACAATCCTCATATGTCAAACTGAAGAAAAATTAACTGTATCATCAAGCGCTCTCCATGTTGGAAGCAGCCAGTTTACCTGACTCTAGATATTTAAAATCAGTACTATTCAAGCTTAAATCATTCATAGAAGTTTCCCATCAGGGTGCAACATTAGAAAAGTTAATTTATGACAATTTAATTACCTTTGCATTTTTCCAGTTTGAAATGCATGGAGGAATTTTCCACTCTTGCTGCTCTTTCACAGTCATCTGATTTAAGAGAAGAAGCAAAATCATCTTAAGACTTATAGTAAAAGGAAATACTGTTTTCTTTCTCAAAGAAACTATGAAAGTATTGAAGTAAGTTAGAGTAAAAAGTTCAGGACTCCATAACAAAATCCCAACTCTTCTTAGCAGCAGTATGATTACAGAATCAAGGAATGGTTTGATTGAAAGGGACCTTAGAGATCAACTGGTTCCAAACCCTCTGTCATGGGATTTATTTTTGCAGTGTATCTTTGCCAACACTGAATAAAGCCCCAACAGCTCTTCAGCAGCCTCTTAAGCTTTCATCACACAGGCCTAACTCACAGCCAGCTTGTTAACATCTGCACATTTAGCAGCTATTCAAGTTGTACCAAACCAATGAACAACCACTACACTAATCTTTCAGAAGGAGCTAATCCTTAATGACACAAGTTAGTGTTATTAAGCATTAGTTTAACAGTGTTGTCAAAAAGCAACATAAGAGTACCCAGGCTAAAGCCTTGGTCAACTCATTCATGCCATGAACAAATTCAGCAATGCAGCCTGGCATAAAATACATGACACATCTACTCCACCTTAGACAAGTTAAAACCGAAAAGACAATTCCTTTCAGAACTGCCCAAATGGAAAAAAAACAAACAAGAAGACCACACTGGGCACCAGATTTATCACTCAACATCACATCAAAAAGTCAGTAAGGAGAACGTACACAGAAATGAACTAAAAGAATCATCTGTGGACCCACCTAAGCATTCAAAACTGTGAACAGCTATGGCATTTCATACCTTTCTACTTGGAGAGTGCATTACAGGTGCTGGAGGAGATGGTGGTCCTCGTGGAATCTTCTTGTTAATTCTGAGCAAATAAGAAAACAATTACAATCAGCATGTTGCACAGAAATACACTTCAGAATCTTCTATTTTCCATGAACAAGCTGTGAATACTTACTTGAATCTTGGAGGCTCCATGGGATCCTTCTGCATTTCCACCATCCGAATAACTCTCTGTTTTGCTCCAGAGTTGAATGCAACTCCTTGCTGAGATGGTGTGTACCTGAATAAAACACAGTGCTCAGTTCTCTGCACACAGATATTCCTTTCCCACCTCCATTTTTACTCAGTTTGCTGCTCTAGCTGAGGTTTCATTTTATCCACAACAGTTTAAGACTACCCCACTACGAATGTCAGCAGCAGGTAACTGTACAGATGGTACTCCACTGAGTGCAGACTCAGTTACGCTAGACAGAATGTAACTTCTCTCCAGGGCTACATTCTCCTGTTTCAACCTAGATTCTGAAATGGAAGAAAAACAAGTACAGTACACATAGCTTGTTGCAATACTTCCTACCTCTATCTGTGAAGCCCTGGTGTCTTCTTACTGCTCATTAAGAACCTCTTCACATATTTTTTTTCAGAATTAACCTCAAGCCAAGTGTAACCCTGCCATGAAATTTTTTGGTGTTTGAAACAGAAAATCATCATAAATAAGTATCAGCCTCCTCCTAATTCCAATTATTTCCAATTGCTCATTTTCTGTGAAGGAAGAACTTTGTTACAGGTCTTGTTGTGGCTTGAAACTTGCAGTAAATACTTTGCTTCCAGAGCAGCATCATTAATAGTGATCCCTAGGATATCTGTGTTTTGTTGCTAAAACAATAACCCCTTCAAAGTGCCATAAATCATTACATGATAATGATGTATTTCCACACAGTTCAAATTAGGTGATCATTAGTGGGTTAATTCAAAATACAGAAGCCAGTTTCATATTCCTTACAGAAGAATAGAATTCAAGAGGAATTTCTGTTCTCAAGAATTCAACAAGTATGCCAATTTTAATACATTTTGAGTATCACAACATCTTACACAAACATCAGCACTACATACCGAATGTACTGTGCAGGAGCTAGTTTGTCAGCAGCTCGAACAGGCATGGCTGCTGCAACTTTTTGGGAGACTGATTTCTCCAAGGCTGCTCTTGTCTTCTCTGTTATCTGAAGAAAAAATACCACAGTGCACATCTTATCCTGTTGCAAGACATAAAGCTTACCACTGCTAACTAGGCACATCAGTGCATACAATACCTCTCTAGTACATAAATCAAAGGAATTGTTTCAGGCTTAGACTATACTTTGGGTACTAATTAAAATAAATATACAAGTATAAACGCATTACGATTACATTGTTCAATTACTCTCATATAACACCTGGTTACATATATATGTAAACAGGATATATATACTCTGGACACTATTTTACAGATGGAGTAATTGAAGAAACAAGGCAATCTGGTTAAGTACAATTGTGTAAGTTGCTCTCAGAACTGACATTAGACAGCAGTTTTCTGCTTCCTAATCCTAGTATTTTATTTTTTTAGGGACTCCAAAGTGATAAAACCCTGCACATTTTTACTTCTGTTTTTAAGGATTACTCAAGAATTTGATACAAGTATTTTCCAGCATCTGGATTTTTTCCACTTCATTACGTTTACTATTTTCTTGGAAAAATAAATACTTGACAAGTCTAGTCTTGACACTTCCCTTTACACAGGTACTTGAATTTTCACACAACATGCAGCTAGCTGCTGGCAGCTTTAAGTCACAATTTTAAATACAGGGAAAGAACACTATTAGATGGCTTCTGGGAAAAATGTATTGTATTATATTAATGCTTCCCATGTAGCCAACAAAACAGGAAGCTTTAGTTCAAAGGGTTAAAAGTCAAGAACTATTATTTCAAGTTCATTAAACAGTACATGTCCAACTACAAAATCAACCTTGATCCTCAGCATTAATTAACCACACAAGAGCCATTTTCTACTTCTCAGCCTTCACTCCTTAAATTTTAGTCCTTTGAATTAGTATCAGCAATATTCTAGCTTCTCAGATGCTGAATGAAGGACATCTGAAGTGTTCCTCTAAGGTATTTAACTCATAAGTCCAAGTGTCTTGCTGAAGAAGAATATGAAGAACAAAGTATGCTGAAGGAGCTTTAAAACATCCCAAAAGAAAAAGAAAAAAAAAAAATAAAAAAAAATTATAAAAGAAGATACTCCTCGTGGTGGTCTAAGAGTGATCTAAAAAGTACTTTACACTGAGGTACAAATGATCTGTATGAACTATTTAAACTCTGAAATATTGCATGTAAATGGCAATATACTTAATTATGGAAGGAATATGCAATATAGATTAAACTACCCTGAAAATACAAATATTTCTGTTGACATCAGAAACTTTATACACTTGCATGTTTTAACTGTAGTCCTTTTCTGAAGTGATAAAAAGAGGCAGATAAAGAATTTACATTTCTTTTTGTTGTTTTTCTAGACATTTATCTTTTTTTACAAGTAACATTGAGACATTTCATTCATCTGAGATAAAGAAGAGCCTGGGATTGTTTGATATTGTACTGTGCCTATCCACTATTATTTTTCAATCTACAAAATTTGAAAGGAAGCATCAGCCTGTGTTTTAGATATTTCACTCTGATTGCTACTGAAAAGCAGAATCTCCTTCTAGGCAGAAAGAAAAACCACAAGTTTCCTACAGTTAAGTGATTCCCTGGATGGGGAAGCCTTTAGAGGCAGCAATTAGAAATCTGCATGCCACTGCAATCAGCAAGAGACTAGTATTACCTAACTGCTTAAGATATTGTACCACATGGCAGGATTTAGACATCAATCCTATTCAGAGTCTCACAAGGCACTTGACAGATCCAAGTGTTTTGATAGAAATGTATTAATTTGCTACACAAAAAACCTTGAAATATTCTGTTCTGTATATCTCAACCAGCCCTGTACAGTGCTCATCAATCCTATATGTACATCAAGAATTTACTATCAAGCAATGTAGCATTAATTCCTTCCTTGTCAACGAATGTTTTCTCCATATGAAGCATATAAAATTTTAGAAATCATTACCTGGTTGTAAGCCTGGTACACACACCAGATAAAAAACTGGTAACAAACTCTCAAACCAAACTCTGCCACAAAGGCAAACAAGTTGTGAGTAAGTACACTTGATTATTTCAGCTGGATGCATGTTCTCTTTACCTGCTCCATAGCTGTGACAGGACTTCCTTCAACAGTGGAACTACTCTCTTGTAAACATTTCAACTGAATCAACAGTCTTGGGAAAAAAAACTTATAAATTGGCTTTGTGATTGTTTTTTTCTCATTTAACAAATAGGCCACAGCCTTGGGCCATGAAGAAAAAATCCAACTCCAGCATATAAAGTTATTCTTGCTGGAAAAAAGTAAGGGACTTAACAGTTCCATTCCTTGATTTCATTTTCTTCTGTCTTCATAAAAATATGGGATGCAATTACATGTTCTTATTTTGCTAATAAGGGGGACAGCATCAATCTCACTAAAATATATCACTATTGATGTATTATTTTAGTTTGGCTTTTAGTAACGTAAATAGAGAAAGTACTGAAAGAATTTACAGCAGCACAAGAGCTAACCACACAGTTAGGCTAGAAATCCTTCATCTCAACAACCAGATGGAATTCCATCCGCAGATCCATAAGGTCATGCATCCAGGCCTGTCAACGCTATCCAGCATTTCATGTCTAGCAGAATTTCTGCCAAACCCAAACAGACTATCACATTTATGTCAGTGTTTTTCACAGAAAATTCTCTGAAGCAACTATTTTTTAAATACATAAGGGAACAGATGCAAGGGAACTGAACCACTGCAATAGTAGAAACTGCTGACAGGTCATCTAGAGATAGGGGCTGGGTGATGGAACTGCTGTCTCTACAAGAAGGCAGAATACTAAATTCTACTTCAAAAAAATCCATAAGCTGTAGCGAAAGCAAAATTTGCTTCCTAACTCAGACCAAGTAGCTCCTAGAATAGGTTCATAAACTCCATCTCATTTCTGTCAGGTTGCTAAGTATCTGTTTCTTTTAGCTCTAAGTATTAAGATTGAAGAAATATTGAATTATGGCTGCAGCTCTCTGGAAAATAAAATTTCTGTATCTAATCCTACTGACACTGTACTATCAAAAGCTCTTAAGAGAAAATATTCCACTCAATTATTCAACTCAACACAGAAACACAGATCACTGGAGAACCGCTCCCTATGACATCTCCGCCAATACTTGCTCCTGCAAAGAAAATCAAATCAAAACAAGCAATAGTAATTCTGCTGTTTCCAGTGAAATTGTTTCAAATACCTATTGCAGCACAGAAAGTCAATTTTATCCTGAGCTACATCAAAAGCAGTGTGGCCAGCAGATTGAGGGAGGTGATTCTGCCCCTTTGCTCTGGCGAGACCTGAGCTGATGTGCTGCATCCAGCTGTGAGGCCCCAAACACAAAGACAATGTTGACTTGTTGGAATGGGTCCAGATGAGGCCACTAAGTTGACCACAGGGTTATAGCACCTCTTCTATGAAGATGGGCTGAGAGAGTTGGTGGTGTTCAGCCTGGAGAAGAGAAGGCTCCAGAAAGACCTTCCAGTACTTAAAGGAACCTACAAGCTGGAGAGGGACTTCTTACAAGGCCGGGTAGTGACAGGACAAGGGTGAAGGACTTTAAGATGAAGGAAGGTAGGTTTAGACCAGGATTAGGGAGAAATTATTTACTGTGAGGGTGGTGAAGCTGTCCAGAGAAGCTATGGATAGCTCATCCCAGAAGTGTTCAAGGCCAGAATGAACGAGGCTCTGACCAACCTGGTCTGGCAGACAGTGTTCCAACCCAAACCATTCTCTGAATCTATTACCTATTTTTCCCTCAGTTCTATTCCCATTTGAATCACTATACTTAATCTTTACTCTCAGCATTTACATCCTGGATGCAATCAAGATCAACCTGACCCAGAAGGCAGAGCTCAGGGTTAGGAAACCCTAAGTCTACAGTTCTACAGAACCTGGTTTTGGAAAAGCCCCACATCTCTTCCATTTTGCTGAATGAGAAAGAGAGTATTACTGCCTTCATTACAGACACCATAAGGAAAGTTCATGAAAGCACAGATCTTCATGAATCAAGTATGACAAACATTAGCAGCTTAAATTTAACCCTACCTCTTAAGAAGTATTTTCCTAACTCTAAACCAAGTAAGACTCAGAAAAAGATTATGGTCACTTTTGCCACAAGCCTACTATCATATCTAGTAATTTTTGAAGCATACTAAAATTCCAATCAGAATAATTCTACTACACACAAATTAAATATAATCCTACAAGCAAGTAAAGATGAATATGACAAGTTTTATAAATAAGTGTTTAACTACGCTATTTTTTTCTTATTATTTGGCCTGCAGCTTCCCAAAAATGGGTATCATTACTTCTTGTCTAATTATCTGCTTGATATTATTTTGTATGCCTCTGACAAAGCAACACTTCCATTTAGCATGAAGTATCAAGTATTTAGTGAAAAATGTCTTCGAATAGAATTAATATTTTAACAACTTTCTCTTGAAAAATAGTGCCAGACATTAGATAAAGCCTGATGGAACTCCAAGAAAATTCCCCTCAATAAAAATATTGCCACTGCTGTTTTTTTCTGTTCAGTCTAACTACTTTCTTTCACATAACAGCATGCAGATCAGTTTGCACTCATCTTTTTCAATGGTAGTGCAGTAACATATGAGGCACAGGATGAGGATATGCAAGATGTGATGCTTAGACACTCAGATTATTAATTAAATATAAAATCCTACTGGCTGCAGAATCTATTTAAAACAATAAATGTATCTGTGAAAAGTATTTTCCCTGATATTTTTAGAACTCCCATCCTGTTGGTTTTTTTTTGAGAGGTAAAGTTCATATTTTGGTTTCCTCCATTCCTCAAATGTAGTAAGACATGGGGCATATTACATAACCATATGCTTTTCAAGGCACCCTAATTTAAAGCCTAAGAAGTTAAATTATTTTGACAACAACTATTCATATCTATTAACTAAAACACTCTTTATAGTTAACACTCTGTTTAGACCTTCTTCGTGTTGCCCTATTCTTTACAGAAGACACTTGCTGGAAGAAGCAGCTACTCACATGTTTTGTCAGCCTACAAGCAGTTTTCCAGCCCCCAACATCTGCTTAAGAGAATTAAAGTCCATGTAACCCACTTGGTCATACTTGAAAAGTTGTAACACTCCTTAAAGTAGACTTAGGAGACTCAAGTACCTGATCGCCTCAAAATTAGTTAGGACCTCAAGTGTCATCTGTTGGTTTTAAAAAGGCTACTGGAAGGAAGTTGAAGTTCCCCCTAAAAAACTCCATGAGAATCTTGGTTTTTCTGAACTCAGCACAAAACTTTAGCAGTATAACCACTGGCAATTAAACAATAGCAAAAACAGAGCACCCAAAACCACTGAAAACAACCGTAAGCGTCAAATATTGGATCAGTAAGATACAAGGTACAGTACTCTGAAGGCTGACCTGTGTTTTCTATCTATTTTTTTACCCCCCCTCTCTACACACTGAAATGAGGACACAATTGTTTTCAGTTTCTTGCCTTCCCTGGAAAATGAAAATTGCTAAGCTATCAAGTAAGTTCTGAATAGAGATTTTCACCATTTTTGCCTTATCTTTTAATTATATTACAGAGAAGATCACAATTTCTGTCTGACATTATTTTAGTTTTTAGGAAAAGAGAACACAATCCATGCAGCTAATGCCAGACCAATGAGTTCAAGTATATGCAATGCATACATACAACTTTTTCAAGTATACATGCCAGATGACATATTGGAAGAAACAGTACCTTGTCCTTTGACTGTCCTTGTCGAGCAATTGCATCATATTTTATCTTTCCTTCTGCATCCACCTGAACTGCCAAAGCATTGGACATTTTCTTTTTTCGGCCCATATCCAATGGATATTGGGCCACATGAATTTCTGGGAAAGCACCCCCATCTCCAAAATCCTACAGAAAAGAAAAAGTAGTGAATGCCTGAAAGACAAAAAAATGCAAAACGGAATGGAAGAGCAGATTGATTTCAACAAAAATATTCTTGGCAAGAATGCTCCACTAACTTTATTATTTCACTGTTAAGAGAGTAATTAATAAGAGAACTTACAGTTACTAAAAGGCACTGAAATGGAGAGACACCTTGCAGTAATTATTCCCGGCACAAAGTAGGAACAGATATTACTGACTAGAATGTGCAGGCAATACTATGCTACAGACAATACAAAATAAAGTATTTAATTCTCATATGAGTTATTAATTAGAACTTCAAAAACTGACCTTCTGAAATAAAGCAACTATGGATATTAAGACAACATGACCAGCATTTTTATGAAGACTTCTACTGGTTATTTGTCGCTTTTCACACCATAATGAAGTGACAAAGATAAAAAAAGCATTCCATTCTTTTCAAAGCCTGTAGCTCATAATTTTACAATGCTACATGTGTCAAGCCTTTCCTTACTTTGACATGTAAATATACTGAAAATTGGGCCAGCGCCCAACAGGCGTTGTAGGAATTGTAAATTCTTACAGTTTATTCCTCTATTCTACAATGTGTTGGTGTAAAAGCATTTAATAACCAGATAATCAAAAAGATTTGTTAAAGCAGATCATCCTGGCTCAGTACCACAGAAGATGCAGTGATACCATTCATAAAACAATTTCAGACTACAGTTTCAAATGCAACGCTTTGGAGGAAGCATTTGCTTAAAGCAGCATGAGCATCTATCCCTTTCTCTGTTGCAATGGCATGGCTTATGTAGAGTCTGGTAACAAAACAGATCAAAAAATAAGAATGATCTGCTCAAGACACCCAATCTCCCTCCATGCTCACCATGTGATCAAGTAGTTATCACCACTGGGATGGAGTGGATTGAGACTTGAAATGACCAAGCAGAACACTCCCAAACAGGAACAGCGTGCTTATGCCATCTGCAAATGCTCCTTGAAACACAGTTCCTGTTATCTGAAATTTTCCACTGGATATCCCACATTCAACAATTAGTTGTTAAAGTATTAGCCAGAACCAAATTCAGTCATTCTTCAAAATTTTTTTTGCATAACACTTAATGTATTAAGAACAGGTTTTGCATTTCCCACCAATGGTAGTCCAGGGTTACTGGAAAAAGGTTATGCTTTGAAAGCATTGAAAGCATTTACTGCAATTTGCACTTAATGAAGCAGAAAGGAGCCTTTAACAGGCTTTCTTCGATGTACATTGATTTGTCACCAAATGGTGCTGGAAACACTTCACACCCCTTCAGCACCTGGCTTCTTAAAAAAATTTCTTTATTAACATTAAGAAAGAATAAGCACTGAAATATTAACTTTAGTACTCAACAGTGTAGGAAGGGAAACCTACACTGGGTATAATGAAAGTGTAATTTCTGACACCATACATATGCAACATATGACTAATTGCTGAACCCACATAAGAATGTTTTCTTTCAGTGAACCACTGGAACTACTATCTGAAGCACATGGATCACCAGAGAACAGTGTTGGATTTACAAAAATGGCACTCAAACATAAATGAGGGCAATGTTGTTACAAGCTGATGAAATTATGGTATTTGGAAACAATGTAGAATCACACATGAACTACTGTAATGAAACTTCAACAGCATGCTTGGTCCCAGGAACACGGGCTTGTGACTCATCAGAACATGTCTCAGAAGTTATTGTCAAGGATCACTTCAAACTGCAAGGCTTTTCCAGCTCACAGGGAGAAACTGTACTAAAACAGTTTTGTAATCAGAGCTACACATCTATATTTTCTCTCTACCTTTAGCAGTTCCACTTCAGATTACATAGAAGTGGCAAGGATTACAACTAATGACACACAACATTGTTGAAAGCCCTTTAGCCAGTACCATAATTAAACAACAAATATTTAACTGATTTTTAAGTTTCCTTCCAATTGTAATAAATTTGTCCCGCAACAGCAGCTACATTTTTGAACAAAACACATGAAATGTTCTCTTCTCTGATACACACATGTTCGCTTATTTCAGCTATAATCCAGAATGCATATTTAATACTAACAGAGGAACAATACGGATGTCTTTCTCCAGGGAATCTTGTGTTCACAGACTGTAAACCCAAAGGGCCACAGACATATTTCCATATTACAACACAACAATCTCTGAAGAGAAGTAGACCTGTTTACCATCAAATATTTTAAGAAACTTGGCAGATTAGAACCTCTCCCAACGTAAGAATATATCAAGCAGTCTGGATGATGCACATGGTAAGATTTTGCATCATTCTCAGCCACATTCAAGGTGCTCAGAGTTTATTTCTACTCCAGATTTTTTTTTTCCCTTTTAGCATACACACTACTATTGTATCAAATAAAATATTCACCTCTAGCACCCGTGGTATCCATCCTTTCCGGTAACCATATGGGGGAGGTTCCCTTCGTGAGGAGACCAGAGCAGTCTGTCTGGATCTCTGAGCTCTTGCTCTTTCTTCTAGTTCTAGCTGATCTTGGGACAGCTGGGTTGGAGCTGGCAAAAAACTGGACATCCATGGACAGCAAGCAAAAGAGAATGACATAAAAGTTAATTCTTTTAACTTCACTCAAGGGCACTCAACTATGCTTGAGCCACCTTCTTTCTAAGTTAATACTTTCTTACAATCGCTCTCTACGGATTAAGCAACAATTTATAAAACTTGAGCATTGCACTTGTGAGAGCAACTTCTGAGATTCAGTAACTTCTGAGATTAGAGTGGCAAAGGCAATGTGTGCTTTCTCAGCATTCTGGAAGATTCTTAAAAAAAATAATGCTAAATTCGCCCACATTCACATAATGTTTGAACAGAGGAGTGAGAATGCCCGTTTTCCAATAGTAAGGTCACACACCACTGTTTTTCTTTACGCTGCTACGAAGAAGAAATAAATGTTGTGTTCCTGTATCTCTAGTCCCAGTGACTCGCTCTCCCCTTCTCTCAAGGCAAACACACACAGATCTGACAACAACCTCCCCTCTCGACGCCTGACACCTCCCTGCCAAAGGCAAGTGGGTACCCAATTTCTTCAGTTCCCCTTTCTCAGCTCTTCTTGTCTACAGAAACCTTTTGTCCATTTACTAAGAAAGTATGCAGAGAAATTCGGGATTCCGGGGCAGTCACCGGAACTGAATTCCCACGCTCTGCAAGAGACACTACAACTCATAACAAAGACCGCTCTCCCTCTCTGACGGTGAAGAAACCTCGACAAAATCCCACGGACCCAAGCGAGGCGGAGGAGTTCCTTCCACCCGCAGTTAACACGAGAAAGCAGAGCCGTGGCCCAAACATCCGCTCCCGCCAGGGTTCCCCCAGGCCCGACCGGCCCCCGCCGCACTCCCTGTGGCCGCGGCCCGGCCGGCGGGCCCATTGCCCAGGAGAAGCC